ATCAGTGTCGGCAGAGGCAATAACAGCCATCCACTCCAGCTCCCACCTGTTCCTAACAGGTACTCATCTGACCTCTTCCTGATCACTTCCAGGAACAGGCCACTCACTCCCTCACAAGACAGCCCATGTGATCTTAGAAAGTCCTTCAGACTCTCCTTGGAGTAATCCCATCTTGGCGTCTGGAGACAACTCCCCTGTGTCTTTTCTTTTTTGGATGATTCCCAAATCCTTCAACTATTTCTCTGGTGACCGGCTTCAAGTTCCCTCACTAACCTCCCTCCCCTAATCTAGGGTTTGTCCCCTGCCCTCATAAACTATGGCACCCCCAGGCTTGACCACTTACCCCGAATAGGTAATAAGACACCACTGCCTCCTTGGTGGAGGAGCCCCTGTTTCTTGCAAATGTGAATGGGATCACATGTGTTACCATCGGTGCCTGGAAGGCAAGAACTACCACGTCCTTTCCACAATTGCTGCTAGTTATATGATGCCTCCTGACCATGAACTTAGAGGGAGGGTACAGAGGGCTCTATGGATTCCACCTTATTAGTAATTAGATCTGATGAGTTTTCCAGCCTGCCAGAATCTCTTTAGATCCTGGCTGTAACCTAGTTAACTTCTTGAGTTTGGATCCTACCCCAAATTAATTCAGTTCATGTATCTTCTTTCAAGATCATAATGCTGCCCATGACAAGGTTGGGAATAGAGCTGCTGAATATCACTAGAGACCTTCTTCCAGGTGACCATCCATTCACTAATCTGTGGGAACACTGAATCTGCTATAAATTCACTTAACTTAAGCTCACATGGCCCACGTGTTAACAAGGATACACTAGGAACTTCTTTATTATGTGGATAGGAATTATTATGCGGCTGCTCATAGCACACATCCAAAATGACAAGGACTTAAACAAGATGGTAATTTTTCTCTCACGTTAAAGAAATTCAGGGTTATACAGTTCTGGGCCAGAATGGTACTTCCATGTTGTCATCAATGCCTCAGGCTTCCTTTTGCTTCACCATCCTTAGGTATGACTTCTGTCCTTGAGATTGCCTCAAGGTCACAAAATAGTTGTGAAGCTCCAGCCATCACATTTGTTTTCCAGGATGACAATATAAGGACGTACAGCCACAGGAGTGTTCCTCTCTGCTTTAAAGAGCTTTCCTAAGTCTCATGCAATATTTCTACTAACCTCTCATTGGCCATTCCATCTGCAAGGGAGGCTGGGAAATGTAGTTTTTTAGCTGGGCATATCACCATTCATCACAATATAGAGCCCTGTTATTAAAGAAGAAAGAATAGAGGCTGTAACAGATGCTGTATGGGCAACTGGAAGTGTCTGCCACACTAGTGAACATTCTACTGACCATGTTTCCCTGATCTAGCTATCACTTTCTCCTATCATAGGAAGGAAAGGGTGAGCCCAGTGTCACTCACACTGAGGCCCAGAAGTTAATCACCTTATCTAAGAGCACACAACCACAGATGTCCCTCCTTTTACCAGGTGAGTCAAATGAAAGAGAAGCAAAGACTGTCCAGTTGGAAGCCCCTATGGGCTGGGGCCCAGATGTAACTTGTTCATGCAACACCTGGGGCTGGTTCTAGCACACAGGAAGGAATATGCAAGGTTCCCAGGGCTAGGGACAGGCTGGACAAGCATCTAGGCCAGGACCCAGACCACCAAGAGAAGCTGGTTCAGATCTTCTACTTCCTAGGCTTGAGGGGCTGGCTGGCTCTGGCCCCAGCTCCAGGCATTTGGAGTCTCCCATTGCCTTGGCATTGCAGCTCTGGTGACCCCTTCCAAAGGGAACCAGGAGCTGGAATGCCCTGCTGAGGATGACCCCCATGCTGGGTCCACAGAGAAGGGCCGAAGATGGAGGATAGGGCAGGATGCCTGAGGCCTGGTGCTAGGGTGAGTCTCAGAGAAGGAAGGAATCACCCTCAAAGGCCAAGGCTGCAAATGTCAGCCTTCTTACCCACAGCCTGATCTAGTCCTTTACTCACTTCGTTCTGCTGCCCCTGAACTTGCTATATGCAAGACTTATAAACATAGGCTCTCTGCTAAGTTCTGTGGCATGTATATCTTACTTGGCCCCAACAACTGCCCTTGAGCTCAAAATCCCCACTTTATAGAGGGAAAAACTGAGGTTAAGTTGCCCAAGTGCTGACAGCTGGTAAGGGGTGGAGCTGGGACTCCAAACCTAGGTCTGATTCCATCACCCAGCCTCCTAACCATTAAACAACACTGCCTCCCTGTGCTAAGTGAGTGGGGCTGGCAGTGTGCCCCTGTGCTCCCGGAGCCTGGCTGAGGGGCCTAGTGAAGGGCCAGTGGCCATAGCAGATCAGCTCCAGGGGCCCACCTCCCAGAATTTATGCTCTGCCATCCCACAGTCAGTCTGAGGGCTGGGCTCCGGGGCTAGTTCAAACCAAGATAGGAGGAGGCCAGGCTACCCTAGAGAGGAATGGACAGCATGCAGGGCTTTGCGCGAATTCCCATAATTCACCAAATCCTTTCACAGGAAGGCCCTCCGGGCTTACTCTAATGAGTAGGGTGTTGAGGGAGAGGAGGATTAATTCTAGAGATTCAGAAACTTCCTGGAAATCACAAGGCCATTCCACAACTCCATATTAAGCTACCTGTACACAAGGCAGCACTCTTTGGTAAGTAAAACCACATTAAAGGTGCATCAATAATGGACTGACTATGGTGTGAGCACACTATGGAATATTCCACTGCAGTGAAAAGGAGTAAGCTGGAATGCTCAATATCAACAGAACAGCAATCTGAAACTTCAGAATCCAGATAAAAAATATATATGAAACCTGATGACTCTTGTTTAAAACTGTCAGTTACATTTATATAAATTCCTTGATGGTACAATATGTCAAGATCTTTATATTGTATTGTGCAGGTTTGGACAAATAATGGTTTATTATAAATGATTTGCCATTATTTTAATCCTAAAAAGTATAAGACTGTTTTCTAAGTCCCTTGCCCTTAGGAAAAAGGATTATCTTTTTATTTACCTTAGTTTAAACACTTTTAAATCACGAAATACTGCATAACTAATTGCTTCTTTCCAAAGACTTTGAAATCAAGGCCATTGTTAATTGATTCCACCTTCTTTTTGTGGGATGGACAAATTAAGAACGTCCCCTCCTCATTCATAGCGGCTAGAATAAACTAAACAACAGTTGCCCAGACCAACGTTATTCAATGCCAATTATTGCTTCATCATGATATTAGAGTAGTAACATGGCATATCTCCTCCAAAATTTAAAAAGTAAGTTCTGAGGAGAAAGTGACGCAACTTCATCTTTGAAGGTTTATCTGTACCTCCTGCCATTTAATTTTTTTCCAATTAAAATTATCCATATGATTTAAATGGATGAATATTTCAATCAAGACCAACTAGGAGTCAGCTAAATACATGCCAAATACATTCTGACATGGAATGCTATAAGATATGCTGTTGAATGGAAAAATGCAAGTTGCAATTATTATTATTACCATGAGGATGAGGCAACTTGAGCCTCAAAGGGGTTAAGGGAACTGTCCAAGGTCACACAGCAAATAAAGAGGGTCTGACGGAGGCCTGCCTGGGGGCCCACCTTCTCCCATTTTCATTACTCACTACACTCTGTGCCTCTTCTCCAGGCTGCTCTGTACTATTTTTCAGGGAAAGAAACTAACTATGGACAGTGAGATGGCCTTCTTGGTGTCAGCAAAGCAGCAAGTGCAGGTTCTGGGAACCCAGAAATGGTCCACCTGTATGTCCCCTCTTTCCCCAATCGCCCACCCTCCTGCCATCACTCTGAGCAGGTCTCTCAGGGCTTGTCTTGACGCCTTATCCAGCACACTTGCAGGCATTGGGTTGGAGTTACTGGGCGCAGTCCCCCCGGGGAGTGATGATGAGGGAGGCGGCCACTCTATGCGGGAGTCCATAAGTCATTTGAGGGCCAGTCCGGCTGCCCCCAGACAATGGCACTGCCCACCACTGTCAGGCTCCCGGGCACTCACCAGCGCAGTGGATGGGGTGGGGTGGGTGGGAACACGGTGAGAAGCTTAGCAGCTCCATCCAGATGCGAATTGTCCCTCCCACACTTCCCCGGCTGCAGGGACCTCCATTAGAGCCCCTGAGGGGTCAGAATCCACACCTCCGCAAATGGGCCCGCTTTCCCAGGGCCCCCCTGCCCAGACCTTCCCTGGGCTCTGTGGGTTTTGACACCTTTCTGTAACCTGGTGGGGGTCCACCTCGCACCTTGGGCCCAGATAAAAGCTCAGTCCTGGAGGTGGCCGGCCCAGCTTCCCAGAGCCCGCAGCCTGGCCATGGCCCAGTCCCCTCCTCTGCAGAGCCTCTTCAGCCACGACCAGTGGATCTTACCCCAGGGTTGGGGCTGGGCCGGCCACTCGGACTCCACGTCCCCGGCCTCCTCCTCAGATTCGTCAGGCTCATGTCCCTGCGACGGTGGCCGCGGTCCTTCGCAGCCCATGCCCCCAGCCTGCAGCTCGGCAG